ACACACTCACACACTCACACACACACACACACACACACACACACACACACACACACACAGATTATTGCAGTATGTTTTACAAGAAAATACTAATACTAATAATGAAATAAAAATACTAAACTTGACTTAAATACTAAAGTTTAATTCAACATGTTACTTGCTGTTTCTTTGTAATTATTTGACAAATTTATTGATACTAATATTTCACAATATTACTGTTTTTAGTGTATTTTTGATCAAATAAATGCAGCTTTGGTGAGCAGAAGAGACTAAAACATTAAACGTGCAGGGGTGAACAGGCTAAATAAAAGTGTAAGTTTTATTCAAATATGAGATATTTATCTTCCTCTAACCAGTTGAAAAATGATTGTGTGTGCAGTATGTTCTTTGTCCAGTAGGGAGAGACCAACACCATCATATTTGCTCTTCCTGCCTATAACATTGGTTTTATTCTCACATTGGAGGAGATTTCCAGCAAACACTGGACAGAGAACAGTAATAACAGACAGAAGCATTGACCGCAGGACCTGCTGTGATGAACGAACTCGATCGTCCAGAAATGGCAGCAGAAGCTTTTATGTTGTTTGTTATAATTTCTCATCTCATTCAGTCAGAGCAGTCTGTGCTGAACTGGTTCTGATGACAGCGGTCCTCGGGTCTGTCTGAACACCAGCCATACAAATCACTTAAATCAGGTCATGTGTCATTTCAACCAGAAACTGCTCGTTTTTATTTGTTTCCATGGCAATCTGTGTTTTTTGTCTGCATTCGGACGGGAACTTGTTGGTGTTTATTTGCCGCAGGCCTACAGTCAATGCATCCGAGCAAAACACAGGCATTCAGGATGTTCAGTGGATCTCCATCATCAGATTGTGTGTTTACTGCGGTTATTCTTGAAAAGGCCTCAAAACCAAAAACACAGACGAATTCATTTGAAACAATGGAATGACCCTCGCTAGACAATACAACGTTAAAGAATAGGAAACTACGTGCCAAAAATATAAACAAAGACTGACTAAAATGCTTACAGTATTTCACTGACGCGGTTGATATTTAATATTTCTTAACGATTTATAAAATGAAATAATGAAATAACATTTGACTTAAGTCAGTCAAAAGTCTTGACATCCTGAAGTTCTTTCTGGACTTTCAAAATGTATTTATTTTTAAACACTTTTACTTAAAATACAAAAATGAAATATATAACAAAAATAAAATAAAAATGACAACTTTTTTATTTAAAATGCAAAAATACATTTTAGAAAATAAAACAAACAGAAAGTAAAATAAAACGTTAAATAAAAAAATTAATAAAAAAATGACAACGAATTTTTTTAAATGCAAAAACAAACTATATAAAGTAAAATGCAAGAATAAAATCTATAAAATAAAATGCCAAAAAAGTTAACTAAAACAATTAAAAAATAAATGCAAAACTTAAATATTTAAAATTAAATAAAATGCAAAAATGTCATTAAATTAAAAGAAATCACAACTAATCACAACTTGGAAAAACAGGCAAATCTATTACATATTTCTTATTAGATATTAGAACTTTTGCGTTAAAATAATTTCCACACTAAATAAAACAATATCTGTACATTTGTCTGTTGTGGCCCTTTACTGGTAGCTATACATCACATAAATGTACCACATGAAAATTATGTTTTAAAATAACGTAAGGTTTGAAAGGATCAAGTGAGGTTTTTTTTTGTTTTGGTTAAATCAGACTAATTTTTGGTCTCTATTTCAGACAGTCTATTTCAGATCAAATAATAAATGCCATTTTCATGACGTCCTGCTCCTCTTACAGTCACTTCCAGTATTTCAGCAGCTTCTCTTATGAATCAGAGATTCCTTCCATCAGACACTGATCTAGATTAAGAGTGTCTCTCTAATGATGAATTGAGTGAGACAGTAAATTATATATTTACAAGGATCCCATTGTTTTTGCAGACAACCGTCTCGTGTCAGACCCAACAAACCGAATCCATCTGACAAAAACTCCATTCTCTCTTAAACTCAACTCCTGTGTACAGAATTGAATACTAACATACGGTTTTAAATGCTCAGTCCCGTTACCATCCCTGAAATAAGTTAGTTTGTAATTTAACTCCAATTATATAAACTTTTATTTGCATTTGCATTGTGGGAAACAGTATTCCACACACTGTAGTATTTATGTATAATGCATTATAAAAAATTCACAATGTATTTTGTAATGCATTATAGATTTTCTGAAATAATTGTAACCAAAGTTAAAATGCATTATAATATATGAAAATACATTTTTAGATCTGAAATTGGTTGTTTTGTGTTTTAATGTGCAGAGCATTATAAGGTGCATTACAGGGCATAATTAATGTATTAAAATACTTGCATTATGCATTATATAGGCTTCAACTGATATGCTAAAAGGCGTTTTGCGTTATAGCTGTTTCTTGTATTTTAGCACTACTGGAACGCTGCATTGACCAATCATCATGCATTATATATATAAACAAAAGTTTTAAATAAATAAATAATGCAAGTATTTATGCACAAGGAACACAATTATTATTGGTTTTATGCTTAAAAATAATATGCTCCATTAAATTGGAGCAAAAAAAAAAAAAAGCCTAGGATGCACTATGCAATTTTAATGAGGAAATGAAAATTAATCACTCAATTTGTCATGTTTCAATTTAAAAACATGAATTTAATTACATTACTCAAGAAAAAGTTATGGAGTTGCCATAATTGTTAATTTTTTTTTTCAATAATCTAAAATATGTGAGAAGGAAAAACATTACTGAAGACTGGAGGAATGATGCTGAAAATTCAGCTCTGATCACAGAAATAAATTAGTTTACATTATACTCACATAGAAAACAGTTATTTTACATCATAATAATATTTCACAATATTCAAATTTTTTCCTGTATTTTTGATCAAATAAATGCAGCCTTGATGGGC